AACACATCATTATCCAGACCAAAGGAACCTTTTGTGTTTCAATGTGGTACCCCAAAGGGAAAACCCACATATAAACAAAATAGATGCTTTCTCGACTTGCTTTTTGAGTAGATAACTCTCATATCTACATTGCAACAACAAAAAAAATATATATATAAAAATTGTTTTTTTTTTTTAAGAAAATCGATGTCAAAATCTGTACTTCTTGTTTTTAGCATAACATTAACGTAAACGTACCGCAGAGGGAATTCCATACAACTGAATGATTTTATAATATATATAAAGAACGTATTTTTGGGCTCTCTATAGACATCAAAAATATTGACGTAACCCAAGTAGATCGCCAGTATTTAATTGTCAAAGTTCATCAAGAATTAACCGAAGGGGCGTTTTTGACATTTTTACAAAAAAAAAAAGAAGCAAAGCGCATAAAATTATTTCGTGGCATTAGAGCCTTTTAACTGTGCTCACAGACTCACAGAGTGCTTGAAAACATATAATATAATGGGGACTGAAAATCCACGGCGGGAAATCGAGCGAATTATCGGACCCACGACGGATGTGAAAAACACTGCTTTCCGCCGCAGCCTCTTTTAAAATTCGTAAGTCGAGAACAAAAACTCCGACGAACTTGCGGTTCGTGGCGACTACGTCAAGCAGCTTTTTTTTGTCGATTACATTTTCGTATAGACCAACAAAGAACCGAGACGACCAAGACGCGCAGCACTAGCTAGAGAATTTTTTATTGTTGCAACTCGCACCAGTTACGAAAATCTGGACGACCCGCGCATTTAGAATGTTCCAGGCAAAAATATGGATGGAAATCAGGCTGGAAAGCATCACAACTTGTCAAAGGCACTTATTTAGCCAGTCTGCCAGTGAACGTCGATTTCGTCACTATTCTTGCCCTAGACTAGCACCGTAATCACAAAGTCACTAAACGCTTGTGCTTGATAGAGAGACACTGCATTCTGCATTCGGTGCAGAACGTAGCTTTCTTCCTGCTCTGGACAGTGAGAATAAATTTGAGGGATGTATTTTCGCTCACAAAATTGTATTTAATTACAATTGTACTTGAAATACCCACGTTTTAGTATTTAAATACACACGTCAAATATATTACCCAATTTGTAATTAAATACAAATGCAAAATACACAAAGTATTTGAAATACGTGTTTTAAATACTTGTATATGAAATACTGCCCATCCCTGATATATATATATATAAACGAATATGTGCAGATGAATGAACCGTACTTAATCCAATGAATCAAAGAATCAAAGTTTTCAGGAACCCGCCGAAAGCCAAAAAACGGCGGAGCCAGGATTTTGATTCATTGGATTAAGTACGGTTCATTCAGCTGCACATATTCGTTTATATCCTCCTCGGAGACCACATACGATGACGTGAAGTGCCCGTGTTGTATATATATCAGTGTGTCGAACCGAAAAAAATACGGGTTCGGTTACGGTTCAGGTTAATTTATTTTGTTCCGGTTCAGTTCCGGTTCGATTAATTCGATCCGCGAACCGGTTCGGGGCGCTGAACCGGTTCGCGAACCCTGTTCGGAAATTATAAATGACAAATTGCAACATCAAAATAAATTACAAATAAAACATCTGAAATCAGCACATACGAAACGGGATACATCGTAGTGTAAGGCTCAGGAATTTCTGCCAGTTCTGAAATTGGAAAACAGCGCGCAAAAAGACGAAGACGACAAGAGAAGAGCACAGGACAAGCGCTGACTATCAACTGAAGTTTTATTAAAAAAGGCTCAAGCAAGAAAACACCACACAGTCAACCAACGCCGAAACAACCAATGGCGTGTCGCTCACCAGTCATCTATAAAACCAGGATTGGTTTCTTATGTGCACTCAAAGGTTACCTCACCGACGTTTACGCATTCGGACTTCTAATTGGGTCCGACGCAGTAGCTGTAAAATCCGCGACCTTGTAACTGGGTTACAAACCCACTTACAAGTAAAACTCGCTAACTATCCCGCCACCTCGGCGTGTAAGCAATTGAAGGAACAGTGGGGAGAAAATACAGCTTTCTTTATTTGAACTAGCCTTCGGTAACTCAAATTAGACCCTTAAATAAGTTTTCATTAAACAAGATACGGAATATGAAAAACACTTCACCGAACGCAACGCCAGAAGGACGTAATAGGATAAATATTAAAATAGAAGAGTTCGCTGCCTCACAAATATGTTAGCTTCTAAGTGCCTATACGAAACCGGATGCATTATTATCAAACTCCACAGCCTTTTCTTTTCTCATTCCGATGGAAGCAAGCTTCAAGAACTCGCGCGTTCTAGAAACGTGTTATGAAATGAGCACACAGCAGCATTTAGGATTTACGAGATTGTAAAAAAATAAAATCCCGTGACGCGATTTTTTTTTTTTTTTTTTGCACAGTCTTTTAATTTTTTTTTTCCGTGCAAGCCGCGACCAGCGCAATACTTTTTCCTATGTCAAGATTCATGAATGCAGCGCTTGTCAAGATTCATGGATGCAGCGTTTATATTCCTAAGACTGAGTGGAGAAGAAAAATATTTAAACGAGGTGTGTGCCAGTTGACGGCACTTAAAAACAAATGGCATTGATAGCACACTCATTGTCAACAGCGCGTGGCCAAATCGTTTTGACATGAGCCGGTAACCGTTATTTTTTTTTCCGGTTCAGTTGCGGTTCGGGTTCATCGCGATGACAATATAACGGTTCGGGTTCGGGTTCAGTTCCGGAAAAAATACCGGTTCGGTTCCGGTTTTCGGTTCAGTTCGGTTCCGGTTCGACACCCTGATATATATATATATATATTGACATAATATTTGGTATACTATTTCAGCTATGTTCGTTGGTGTCTTTAGCGGTGTGTCTTGTATGAACAATGTGAAACACATGCGCGTTTCCGGACGCGCGTCCAGCATAAATGTATAACCGGTTCGACGGAATCGGTTGTCTCATACGTGTATATGAGGCCCGCTCGCAGACGATTCGGTCATACATCTCTGCAGAAAACACCTCGCCTTTTGTTCATATGCCCGAGCTGCGTGACGGTGGCTTAAGAGCCCCGGGACAAGCTGATTAAGGGAGTAAAAAGATTATAGTGTGCTGGAAAGGCAAACAGGTGTAGTACGCAGCTCGGCGCCCGCGATGAAGGTGCGCAGACATCTTTATTCCATTCGTGTTTGGCCCTGGGCTTTGCCGAAGCGGACGATAACGGGAAAAAAAAAAAAAAAAAAAAAAATACTGGACGTTGTCGTCGTTCCCGCGAAAACGAGGCTCGGGCAACTTTGCGATACGCCGCAGACGAGGGGTCGTGCGTGCACCTGCTTGCTTTGCAGCAAGATACCATCAATGGCCGATAAAGTCTACTGGTTTGCCCCAGACACGACAAGGTGCGAGCGGTGATATTTTTCTTTTTTCCTTTTCTGTAATCGAGCAAGTTACGCCACGGCGAACATCGATTCTCGACTGACAACGAAACGAAATAAACTTGCTCTGTCGTGGCTAAACTCTCAAACATAACAAAGTGTTAAAAAAAAAAAAAGAAAAAACACGAAAGATCAGAATTGAGCACAGAAACCGCAGACACCTGATAATTTTGTGTGCACATTTTTTATTTTTTATTTTTTGTTTTATTTTTATGCATTACGCATGGATGTACCAAATGTCTCAACTTTCTGCGTTTTTTTTTTTTTCTTGTAAGAAAGGTGTATATTACGTATATATTGCACCATGCGTTAGGGCTGGTGTTTCAATAAGTGGACGGGGTCGCTGTTAACACAGTGAGAATAAATGGAATGGCACCGGACTCTTTAATTGGGGGCAGTGCCCCACTGGGTCCGTTAACACCGATCAGCCAAAACATGATCGACCATCTACTTAATACGGTGTTGATTAACCATTGGCACGCCAAACAGCTGCAGCCCGTTTTGGCGTGAATTCTACAACTCCTTGTTAAGTACCATATTATAAACACAGGTAGTGCGATTCCTCTAGATCATGAGGAGGTGGTTTCTGAGCTTTGAGCTGGCACCCCTTCACATCCCAGATGTGCTCGATAGAATTTATATCTTGCGAGTTAGGTGGCCAGGATATCAACCGGAATTGATCGTCATGCTCTTCAAACCACATTAGCACAATTATGGCCTCGTGACATAGAGCACTGTTTTGTTGGATGATTCCGGTGAGGAAGACAAGGGCCATAAATAGGCGTAACTGGTCAGCGGCGACGTTGTATAGTCCACAGCTTTTATAGTGTGCTCTGCAGTAACCACCGGTCCCAGTGACGCCAGTGAGAACATCCTCCAAGGCAAAAACCCTCGGCTACCGTCCGCGTCAGCAGAAGTAGATAATGCGGTCGGCATGTCAGCTAGGCGCGCTCACACCCATAGAAGTAGGGGTGGTCATAATATTTCGGCTGATCAGTGTACATGGCTTGCGTTGACGAGTTTTTTTTTCTCTCACCGCCGAATCTGTTCTGCACAGCACGAACAAGTAGGAATGACCACTAACGTGATTTGATGACACCATTTGCAAGCCATGCAAATCATGTGCGAAACCATTAGGCGCTACGGCACTATCTAAGAGTGATCACCTTGCGTACTTACTGCTTTTCGAGAAGTCGGGAGCGTGGCATTTTTCTGGCTGTCTGCTTGCATTCTAGCATATCACGTGTTATTTTTATCTGTGACTGGGCACAAGTAATTTGTATAGGTCTAAATTTGTTCTTATTGAACATTAGGTGCCATTTAACACGATTAAATGTTGCACTTTCAGGTAAAGTTTTATTCCTGTCGGAAAAAAGAAAGAACGAGAGAAAGCTGGACAACTGGACAGCACTGTAACATACCATTGTTCCCTGACTTGAATGTCATCGAATGCCATTCGCAAACGGAGACATTGACAGTGGTCATTGGATAGTGAGAAGAAAAAAAAACGCAAGCAGCTTTCGCTCACTTTTTGCAGGTCAGCGTTTTCAGCTTCCACTATGTCTGCACCTTGAGATCGAAGTTAAGGGTATACGAAGATCCGGTAAGAAAAGCTAAATCATCCGGGCTGAGCGCGGTACAGTCTTTGAGCGTGAGTGATTCCAGCAGCTCGTCGAGCAACACCAGCTGCTGGATCCCCAGGATGCTGATCTTTCGCATGCTGTGAAACTCTATCCTGTTGAGATTCCTCAGTAGTCCTCTCTGAAGGGCATCCATCAGAAAAATGTCGTCGAAACAGTCGCACAATCCTATGGCCAGGTCCTTGATTCCATAAGAGCAGTTGAAGAGGAGGCACAGGTCTCTCGTCTTGAGAGAGTGAGTGCTTTCTGGGTGCACGAACAGGACTTCTAGTTCACTAAATGGCTGTTCCCTGACTTTGATGCCGTTCCTCCTCCAGCACATGTTGACAGAAACGAGCTGCAGCATTCTGATGTTCGGACACGCTGTGTCTATGGCGGCTAGGTCGACGTCCGGCATGGCTAGTTTGAGGACCGACATTTTGATACCCGCTTCCTGGAGCACCGGCTCAAGCTGCGTGTAGAAGAACCATTCTGAGGTGGACTCGGATGTTCGAATGGTTAGTTCCGCCAGCCCCGTTAGCAACCTTAGCGGAGAGATATCGTCAGTCGTCTTCACTTCGATTTCAATGGCTCGCAGTCTTGGACAGAGTTCTACGGCCTTGGACAGGAACTCTCTCCGGGTAGGTCTCACAGACGTCTGCACGGCGAACGCGTTGATGTCCTTGTACTCTCGGAGTGACAGACGGAAATCGGTGGGCTTAATTTCGTTCAGCACCACCAACGCCTTGTCGAGAGAGGGTAGGTTGATGGCCTCCAGGTTTGGAAGCCTTTCGAGGAGGTAGACAATGCTCTTGACGGTGACACCGACAGGAGCTCCCTCCACGGAGATGAAACTCAAGTTCAGGCATCCTCTGGAGCCGGCCTCGTCTACCAGGGACCGAAGTCCCACGTCCGTGATCTGAGGCGTCTCGCACAGCGTCAGTCTGTGTAGCTGCTCGCAGCTTTGTCCTAGGGTCTCAAGGACCTTGTCGGTCAGGTTCTCAAACGCGACTAGGAAATGACGTAGGTTAGGGAGCTTGCTCAGCATCGCGCACAGCTCCTCGTTGCTGCACGTCATGTAGAACTCGAGCGACAGGTCCACGAGCTGGCTGCCATATCTGCCGATGCGGCTGAATATGCGCTCGAACCTGGACGGCTCGCGGCTCTCCAGGAACTCGGACGTCAAGAAGAGGTCGAGCCTTGTGACGCCTCCGCGGCACAGGAGGATCTCGAACTGGAGGCAGCTGAGGGAGTGCGGTCCCCTCTTCCGCTGGACCTGCTCGATGAGGTGCTCGAGGAGCGGGGCCGCGCAGGTGATGAAGGGGTTCATGCGTTCCGGGAGTCCGTCGATGCCCTCGGGAGGTACGCACTCTTCGACGGCGGGTAGGATGACGGTGGCGACGACGTTTGTCGCCAGCTCTCCCAAGGATGGCGGAGTAAACCGGCGAGACATGGCGAGGGCGCTAGGATAAAGAACAGCAGGGTGCATGGTGCCGTTCCCTTCCTCCTCTTTTTCTACCAAGGGTTGTAAACTACACATGGCTTGCACGTGATGTCATCTCACTATGCTCTTGTTCTTGCCGAGAAAAACAAATAGGGTGGTGCGAAATGTGTGTTGCAGGAGACACACGCTCAACTGCGAGGCCACCATATGATGTTGCGTCAATTATGCAAGTCATGTATACTAAACACTCTTGAGCTTGGAAGTTCTCGACTTTTTTCCCTTAACCGCATTTGCGCGCTTGGATGTTTGATTCTCTATAGATAATTGCAAGCATGGCGCCACAAGTGGTGCCCCATGCGTGCAAGCGCGTGCAACGCGCGGGTGAACGTAGCTTTGGCAAGCTCGTAATCGCACGGGCGTGCCTGCTCGAGCAGAGACATGGCGGCGGCCAGTCGCCCAGCTTGCAATCGTCTATATGTACTAACTCTTGAAGGATCAAGTGCGCGTTCTTTGTTTTGTATGACCTCGGTAACCTCGGCTCGTTCACCGGATTCCTGACGGAAGGAAGGACTGAGAACGCATGCATTGACGTCGCACCAAATGCAATTCTGGTGGCGAGAGTTGTCATACTCGCGGGACCCTGGGCTTTGCTGGCGACGATGGAAGGACGGAAGAGAAAAGGATTACAGTCACAAAAAGACGATTAGAAGATTCGTGGAAATTATCTAGGGAAAATTGAATGATGTACAATTAACTTGCACAGCTGGGGACAGGCGGGACAGAGGAAAATTGGGACTCCCTCCCGCGTGGCTCCTGCTCATATCTCAACCCGGTCTCCCAGTGGGTCCGATACTGGAGTAACGCCGACAAGGTTTGACCAGAGGAAAATTGGCGACTCTTTCGCCAGGGAGAAGAGGCGGGGGTGATGTTTTTAGTGTTTTTGTCCGATCCCTCGAAGGTCATCCTGGTGATATCCCACACTGCCTGGTGATAGTTACGGGGAGAAAATTGGTCTTAAAAAAGTGGGAGGAATCATATGTTTGTCTTTTTAGACTTAGGCTAGGTGGCGCAAGCTACTGCCCGTTACAAAGGGTAAAGCCATTAACATTCATTCATCCATCTACGAAAATTCAGATTGAAGAACATCCGGCGACGGCACAGCGGTTACTGAGCAAAGCGAGGATTCCACCGCGTCCCGGCGCCTCCTCCTCTCTGGCTCAGCGCCAGCTGTGCGACGCTCCTTTGATGAAAACGAAAAAGCTCTTTCTTTCTCTCTTTCTGGCGCTGACAAACTGACAGACACCACCGGGTTTTCGTCAAAACGAGGGTTTTAATGCAAACACATTAGAAGTAATTAGTTCAAAATCGCCTCATCGTCAAAGCGATTTGCAGACAATTTAAAGTAGCAGACGAAGCCCGTGGTAAAGCTGCGGCACGGACACCGTGGGCACGGACACCGTGGGCACGACACATGACCTTATGGAAGTTTTTGCAGGTGATTTAAAGCAGCAGAAGAAGCACGTTGATGAAACAGCGGCCCGGCTCAAACATACCGCGAAGTCTTCGCGGACGGTTGCCGCGGAATAGCAGACGACATCCGTTGATGAAACCATCGGGCAGCGCTTCTTGAGTCGTCTGCCAACATTTCGCGATATGCTTGCGTCGTGCCGCGGTTGCAAACGATAACCTGGAATCTTCCGCTTGGTTGCAGACGTCAACCTATTCTCAACTCTTCGAGGCAGATAAAAATGATTGGAGCGGTTCGACAATTTGTACGCAAGTCACCCGCATTTGTGAACGCTCTTGGCAATTAGTTCGTCTTCTTATGCAAGGTGTCGAGGTCGACCTCAGAAGGATTAAAACCTACCTAAACAATCCTACCAAATTGTATCCGATCAAGATCGGGCGCGGCTGCTTGACTGCTGCTGACGAGGTGGTAACATCAAGCAACTTGCTGAAACAGGAATTAGCGTGAAAACTGCTCGGTCAATTGCAAAGACTGATAGTAATTAACCGGAACCCAGGGGAGGCTGAAAGAAGACATTCGACTCCGATGTTGTGGAGGATCTGGATCTAAAAAAAGGGGGTGTAGACGTTACACTCTTCTCTTGTCACGTATACGACGCCCCAAAACTTCAGTTCGACGTACAGCGCGCTGACGTCAAACTGACTGCCCCAACTTTTGCGAGAGGGTGAATGACGGTGCGATATAACGCACTAACAGCTAAAGTATACGTATCACACTCTACAGAAAAAAAAAACACATAGGTTTTGCAGTTGAGCCTAGAGAACCCCGATAACTTTTTTGCAGTCAGTCACACTTACATTAACTATTTTAATGAGTTGTACCGATCGCTATCAAGCCGCTCGTGAAATTTGGTAGCGTCGGTACAACGTCAGCGCACTGTGCATTCAACTGAAGTTTTGGGGTGTCGTATATATAACAAAAGGTGTAAGAAGATACCCCCTTTTTTTTTTTTTTAGAGTGTATGTGGCTGAACACTCAACCTGCACGCTGAAGCAACTCAAACAAAAGCCTGAAGCAACTGGACCAGGTATCCAAATCCGTATATCCACAATTGACAGACATTTGGATGGATACGGTTACACAACAGAGCAACTTCCTCTGCATCCCGTTGACCGAAATCACGTTGACGTAAAAAGTGAAAGAAATGAATACGCTTCGGGGTTGCAAGGGGACGACCCGCTTCAACTTCGATGTTACTTTGACGAGTCAAAATTTAATAGAGTCGAAAGTTTGGGAGGTCAAAATGTGGGAAGGACGCCGTCGTGAGAACTGCACAGGTTCCAGAGGGCTTAATATCAATATCCTCGCATGCATGTCTGCTGACGGGATCCTCTTGTAAAGAGGTGTGAAAAAAAAAAAAAATCCTGGTTGACCTTAAACGAATTCCTGGAGGGAGTTTCGAGGGAGATCGTGGCAACAGCTCCTGGCCAGGATGCGGTCATTACATTTGATAATGCTCCCGCACACCGACGAGCCGCAGACGCCGCCTTGTTCCATGGGGCACTTTTTGAAGTACTTACCGCCACAATCCGTTCTTCAACCCAATTGAAGAGATGTTTCCCAAGTTCAAGTCCGGCGTGAAAGCTTACAACAATGAGCATAGCGCGGCCCCACTTGCGCGACCTGAAGCTAGGAACGCAAATGCTCCAAACGGCGACGAAAGAAGCAACGCAGAATATTCAACGTGTTGGTTGCGCGACCCTTGACCGCAATCATTTCATGTACACTGTGCCTGCCCTTCAAACCGAGGGCGTGTAACTTACATTTTCGAGTGTGGAAGACACGCAGTCGAAAATCAGCATCTTGATTTCCAATGAAAATGTTCCTACCATTGAATGCCTACACCTAATTGAAATATACATTTTTCAAGCACAATTTCACTGCCAAGCCTCTTGAAAATTTTCGTTACTGTTCTAAAACCGACAAAACATTCACATCATTCAGTCTCGAGCTAACGTATTATGGTCTAAGAAATTCACGAGAAAACGAGTCACGCAACGCGCATCCAGAGTGAAAAGTCCTTCATGACCTGCTAGCATTAAACCTCTAAAACGGTTGTAACATATGAGTTAGTAGTCATAGTTAATTCCCAGATATGAACGAATTACATTGAGTGACTCTTGATTTAAAAAGAATGGTGTTCGGATTAAAAATTCGGGGCACTAGGATTATTATGAGCGGGAAAACCTGTAGTGGTGTGCGAATAGTGGTTCGAATCGGATAGCGTTATGCATCATTCGTTGCCCACAGTGCTAGAAATATCCGCGGACGAACTCTGCATGCGTTGAAGCTAATGACGCTGCTTTGTTCAAGATTCGAAGCGGTGTTCGCCCACCCCTAACAAAAACACGACAAAAGATGAATCACCAACGTTACCTGCTAAATTTTTTTTTTATTCTTTGCTCGTTCAATGAAATTGTGATGACATCGCGAAGTGCCGTCATTCGAAGAACAATAGCATATCTGTTCACGGAGCAGTGTTAACACCGCGACACGCGTTGTTGTGGGTTAGTGACATCAAGGGCATTCCGAGGTCATCGCGTCCGTGAATGCGAAAGACTTTTCACATCACCATAAACAAAGACACACACACCAACACAAAAGAAGGCAAATGTTGGTGGCTTTTATTCAAATACGATTTAGCACGCACACCCGAAAAAAAAAAAGGGGGGGAGGGGGAAGGGGAGGGGTAGGGGGGGGAGAGAATTGCGGCAACAGACGATGCAAACCTTTCTGTAGCAATGAACACAAGGTCGCCGGTTTGAGCACCGATCAAGGCCCTACTCGCCGGCTATTTGCTTCTAAAATGTCACAGAAAGTCAACTTTATGTGGCTATGCGGCCAAAAGCACAGGGGCGCGTGCACGAACGTCGATTCAAGCTGTGCACGCGCACTCCTCCTCTAGTCAAAAACACCACAGAACGTCGTGATACCTTCAATTATGTTGAGACGATGTTGCTTATTCAGTTAACTTTGTGTACGCATACCCGCTCGGGCTCACGGAAGGCGATGAAACCAAACCTGGTTTCATCGATCGCTTCTGTAAAAACACATTTCAAGGCGACGACCTTGAAGCCTTCAAAGCCTTCGGTTTGATTGACTTTTGTATACAATATGTGCCCCCCCCCCCCCTCCACACACACACACACACAGAAAAAAAAAACATTAATTTTTTTTATTTATTTTTTATTGCATAATACATTTACGCACCGTCAAACTCTCAGTTTCCGCCCAAATATGTAGCGCTAGCGGCTCGGACCGAAAGCCAAAGTTAAATGATTTTCTGACACTTTCAACGGGAAACTGGTGTCCGTTCGCTGTAGTTGAAACTCCCGTCAGACTTTTCCCACTGGCTTTCACAGATTTATGCTTTAGCTGCGGACCAGTAAATATGTTGGGTGGTAACGAATAAACGACCGGTCCTGCCCATTCAGGCAGTTTCGTAGTACTGTCCGCTGCGAAAAACGGGTGCAACCTATGCTCAAAATAATTCCGTTTTTATAAAAAAAAAAAAAAAAACGGAAAAATGTTGGTCAAGTTTTTTTATTTGAAAAACTTTAAATTTAAA